AAAGGTAATTAAAATTATTTGTTGATTTCTGTGGATTTGGTTCAAATACTACTATTGTTTTTTTCAATTTTGAGTGGATTAAGTCTGGTAACAGAAATCTTTAAATTCAGGTGCAAACTACTAGTAATGAAGATCTTTTATAAATTCTATGAATTGTTCAAAGCTACTATTGTTAGAATTGGTGTTGTGAATGATCTTTATAGATGTAACATTTTAATTTGTTGGTTACGATGGTCAAGCACGGATTAGAGCACATAACAAATTGGTAAGGTAATTAAAGTCATTTGTTGATTTGTGTGGATTTGGTTCAAATACTACTATTGTTCTTTTCAATTTTGAGTGGATTAAGTTTGGTAACGGAAATCTTAAAATTCAGATACAAACTACCAGTAATGAAGGTCTTTTCTAAATTCTACGAATTATTCAAAGCTACTATTGTTAGAATTGATATTGTAAATGATCTTTACGGACGTAACATATTAATTAGTTGGTTACAATAGTCATGCGTGAGTTAGGGGTGCATGACAAGTTGGTGAAGGTAATTAAAGTCATTTGTTGATTTCTGTGGATTTGGTTCAAATACTACTATTGTTCTTTTCAATTTTGAATGGATTGGGTTTGGTAATGGAAATCTTTAAATTCAGGTGCAAACTACCAGTAATAAAGGTCTTTTCTAAATTCTACGAATTGTTCAAAGCTACTATTGTTGGAATTAATGTTGTGAATGATCTTTACGGACGTAACATATTAATTGGTAGGTTATGATGGTCATGCTCGAGTTAGAGGCACATGACAAATTGGTAAAGGTAATTAAAGTCATTTGTTAATTTCTGTGAATTGGTTCAAATACTACTATTGTTCTTTTCAATTTTGAGTAGATTGAGTCTGGTAACGAAAATCTTTAAATTCAGATGCAAACTACCAGTAATGAAGATCTTTTCTAATCCTGCAAATTGTTCCAAGCTACAATTGTTGAATTAATGTTGTAAATGATCTTTACAGACGTAACATATTAATTGGTTGGTTATGATGGTCAAGCGTGAGTTAGGGGCACATGACAAATTGGTAAAGGTAATTAAAGTCATTTGTTGATTTCTGTAGATTTGGTTCAAATACTACTATTGTTCTTTTCAATTTTGAGTGAATTGAGTCTGGTAACAGAAATCTTTAAATTCAGATGCAAACTACCAGTAATGAAGGTCTTTTCTAAATCCTATGAATTGTTCAAAGCTACTATTGTTAGAATTGATATTGTGAATAATCTTTACAAACGTAACATGTTAATTGGTTGGTTATGACGGTCAAGCACGAGTTGGGGGCATATGACAAATTGGTGAGGTAATTAAAGTCATTTGTTGATTTCTGTGGATTTGGTTCAAATACTACTATTGTTCTTTTCAATTTTGAGTAGATTGAGTCTGGTAATGGAAATCTTTAAATTTAGGTGCAAACTACCAGTAATAAAGGTCTTTTCTAAATCCTACAAATTGTTCAAAGCTACTATTATTGGAATTGATGTTGTGAATGATCTTTACAGACGTAACATATTAATTGGTTAGTTATAATGGTCAAGTGTGAGTTAGAGCACATGACAAATTGGTGAAGGTAATTAAAGTCATTTGTTGATTTCTGTAGATTTGGTTCAAATACTACTATTGTTCTTTTCAATTTTGAGTGGATTAGGTTTAGTAACGGAAATCTTTAAATTCAGGTGCAAACTACTAGTAGTGAAGGTCTCTTCTAAATCGTGTGAATTGTTCAAAGCTACTATTTTTGGAATTGATATTGTAAATAACTTTATGGATGTAACATATTAATTAGTTGGTTACAACAGTCATGCACGAGTTAGAGGCGCATGACAAATTGGTAAAGGTAATTAAAGTCATTTGTTGATTTCTGTGGATTTGGTTCAAATACTACTATTGTTCTTTTCAATTTTGAGTGGATTGAGTCTGGTAACAAAAATCTTTAAATTCAGGTACAAACTACCAGTAATGAAGGTCTTTTCTAATCCTGCAAATTGTTCCAAGCTACTATTGTTAAATTAATGTTGTGAATAATCTTTACAGATATAACATATTAATTGGTTGGTTACGACAGTCAAGCGCAAGTTAGGGGCATATGACAAATTGGTAAAGGTAATTAAAGTTATTTGTTAATTTCTGTAGTTTTGGTTCAAATACTACTATTGTTCTTTTCAATTTTGAGTGGATTGAGTCTGGTAACAGAAATCTTTAAATTCAGATGCAAACTACCAATACTGAAGGTCTTTTCTAAATTCTACGAATTGTTTAAAGCTACTATTGTTGGAATTGATATTGTGAATAATATTTACGGACGTAACATGTTAATTAGTTGGTTACGATAGTCAAGCATGAGTTAGGGGCGCATGACAAATTGGTGAAGATAATTAAAGTCATTTGTTGATTTCTGTAGATTTGGTTCAAATACTACTATTGTTCTTTTCAATTTTGAGTGGATTGGGTTTGGTAACGGAAATCTTTAAATTCAGGTGCAAACTACTAGTAGTGAAGGTCTTTTCTAAATTCTGTGAATTGTTCAAAACTACTATTTTTGGAATTGATGTTGTAAATAATCTTTACAGATATAACATGTTAATTGGTTGGTTACGATAGTCAAGCGCGAGTTGGGGGTGCATGACAAATTGGTGAGGTAATTAAAGTCATTTGTTGATTTTTGTGGATTTGGTTCAAATACTACTATTGTTCTTTTCAATTTTGAGTGGATTGAATCTGGTAATGAAAATCTTTAAATTCAGGTGCAAACTACTAGTAATGAATATCTTTTCTAATTCTGCGAATTGTTCAAAGCTACTATTGTTGGAAGTGATGTTGTGAATAATATTTACGGACGTAATATGTTAATTAGTTGGTTACAAGATCAAGTGCGAGTTGGGAGCACATGACAAATTGGTGAGGTAATTGAATTCATTTGTTGATTTCTGTGGATTTGGTTCAAATACTACTATTGTTCTTTTCAATTTTGAGTGGATTGAGTCTGGTAATGAAAATCTTTAAATTCAGATACAAACTACTAGTAATAAAGGTCTTTTCTAATTCTGTGAATTGTTCTATGCCACTATTGTTTAATTAATGTTGTGAATTATCTTTACGGACGTAATATGTCAATTGGTTGGTTATGACAGTCATGCGTGAGTTAGAGGCGCATAACAAATTGGTGAAGGTAATTAAAGTCATTTGTTGATTTCTGTGGATTTGGTTCAAATACTACTATTGTTCTTTTCAATTTTGAGTGGATTGAGTCTGGTAACAAAAATCTTTAAATTCAGGTGCAAACTACCAGTAATAAAGGTCTTTTCTAATCCTGTGAATTGTTCAAAGCTACTATTATTAGAATTGATGTTGTGAATGATATTTATGGATATAACATGTTAATTGGTTGGTTACAACGGTCAAGCACAAGTTAGGGGTACATGACAAATTGGTGAAGATAATTAAAGTCATTTGTTGATTTCTGTGGATTTGGTTTAAATACTACTATTGTATTTTTCATAAAAGTTTTTTTGTAAATTCTAGTGAATTTGGTTCAAAAACTACTAAGTTTTTAAACCTTTAAATAAATTTAAATTAATAAAATTTTTTGTATTAAATTTGATAAATATAGATTAAGTTATTTGTATTATTAATTAATAAATTAAATTTGTAAATTTAATTATTTTTATTTATAATTTTTTGTTTATTATAATAAAATAAAAAAGTATTAAAAAATTTTATAAATTTTATAAATTTTTTATAATAAAATAGTTAAAAAATTTTGTATTTTTATTTATTTTTTTATTTTACTAATTTAGATATAGTAGGTATTGGACAAAGATCATCTTTTTTACTTGGATTTTGTACATGATTTCTTATTTGTTCATACAAATACTATTATCTTTCTGCACTAAGTCCTGGTAATTTTTTTTCAACTAATTGTTTTAAATTATTTTGTTGTTTAGTTTTTTCAATGTTTATAGTTATTTTTTCTTCATAAGATGATGTACTAATTTTTACTTGCCCTTGATATAAACTATTAAATTCAAAATAATGTTGTTTTAAAATATTTGGAATTGTTATAAAATTTTGTTTTAACCAATCTGTTCACTCATAAAAATGAACTATTTGATTTCCATTATTATCAAAAATTGTTTGTGCTATATTATATCTACCAGGAGTAGAATTTTTAACTACTTTAATTAAATCTTCTAAATTATCTACTTCAGATTTTTGTAAAAGTAATTTTATAAGACCAAAAAATCCATCAGGACTAAATTTAGTATGTCCTGCAACCATAAAACAATAGGTTATACTATCATATAATCCTGTTAATATTCTCCAAGCTAAATAAGCTATCATAGCATTATTTTTGTTTTGACCAGAGCAATTATCTGCATGAATTACTAGTTTTTTTTCTCCTAAACTATGTAATTCAAAATAATTATATACTAATGAGATTACAGTATCTGCTTCTTTACCAACTAATTCACTTTCTTTAATAAGATAATTTACCTAAAAATTATTTAATAAATTATATTTAATATTAATTTTATATTATATTTAATAATAAATTTTTATATTTACTTGATGTGAAAATGCATCATCACATATTCCAAATAAGTGAACTTTATACAAAGATTTAAAATAAACTTCTCCCTAATAATAATTAAATAATTTAATAAAAATTTAAAATAATTATTAATATATTTTATAATAAAAACTTACTTTTTGTTGAGATGAATATGGTAATTAAATTTGTTGAGCATAATCCCAAGAAAGATGAATTGTAATATCTAAAGAATTTGGTTTTCCAAGACGTATTAAATTATTAATTCCAAATTTTTGAATATTATTACTTGCTATATTAATATAATTTCTATAAAATTTAAATAAGTAATTAATATTATTTAATAAAATAAAAATAAATAAATTTATTTACTTATAATTTTCTCTTTCTTTATGTGCCCATTCAATATGTTTATGTCATTCTAATACTTTAATTTCTTTTTCTTCAATAGTCCAATAATTAGCATTAAATCGCATATCTTTATATTTTAAACATAAATCACTTTTAGGAGTTAATTTTTTAATATGTGGTAAAAATTTTTTCCAAATTCTATTAAATGTTGTTAAAGCTACTCCATATTGATTATTGTTTTTAATTGCTTCTAAATATTGAACATGCAAAGATGAATAAGTTATATCTGCTGGTAAATAAATAATTATACTAGTATTATCATGAAAACTTCGACCTATAAATTTATATTAATTAATAATTTAAAATAAATAATTATAATTAATTTAATTTAAATACCTGGAGATGGCAAACCATTTTGTTTTGCATAATTTGCTATAAAAGTAATAACATTCATTACTACTTCAAATGATATTGCTTGATTACTTACTTTTCCTATTTTAGAATCTTTTCTTAAATTAATATCATTTTCTACAAAATGTTCTCTTAAATTTTTCCATCTTTTTTCTCCAAGTCCATAAATTGTTTTAAAAGCATTTAAACAAATTAATTTTCCTTCAAAAATATATTCTGTAGAAAGCTTAGATTTTTTTAGATTTCTAAATATTTCAGGTCATTTAGTAGCAGAAATAATACCTAATAAATACATATCTTGAAAAGATTTAGAAAGATTTTTAAAATTAGAATATCGTAATAAAGCTACTGAATAATCACATTGAGTTTGTAAACAATTTTTTTCACAACATTGTTTATCAAAGGATTTTTTAAATTCATTATTTTGTAATAAATTAATTTCTTCTTCTAATTTTTGATTATCATCATCATGTTTTTCTAAAATATCTTTTGTTTTATAATATAAAATTTTAAATTTAGAAAGTTCTTCTTCAGTCCAAGTTTCATTTTCTAAAAGATTATTTTCTGAAATTTCTTGAATTTCAGAATTATCTAATGAAGATAAATGATTTTCTTCATCTAAATATTGAAATTGCAAATTTGAAAGATCAGTTTGCAATTGAATGTTTTCTCTATGAGTTTCTTCAAAAATACTTTTGTTTAAATAAAAATTAGACATTTTTGTAAAATAAAATTTAAAATAAAATTTAGAATTTTAAATAATTATCTTGTATTTATATATTTAAATTATAAATTATAATTGTATTAAATACTAATTATAAAAATTATATATTTAGTACAATAGATATTAAAACAATAATTATACAATTTAATACAAATAATTATTAAATTAAACTAAGATTCTATAAAAAATTTTTTATACAATAGACATAAATGTTATTTTGTTTTGAAATAACGCCTATTGTTATGCATATACACTAATTAACATGCATACTCGAAACAATATACAGGTAGATGTTATTTCAAATAAAAAAATTTCACTTAATGCCTGCGCATTATTTTGGGACAATTATTAGCTCTTGTCAAATGCTGAAAAAGAATGGCAAAATAAGAGCAAGATTTAAATAGCGTAATTGTATATATGTTATACATACATTCTGTGGCAAAAGCATTTGACAATCTAAAGACAATGAATTTATTGTCAAATGCTTTCATTTTCTATACAATTTGTGCCGGCATTGCAGATTCGATAGGATCAGTTTTATATTCGAATTTAAATCAAATCCCGAAATCAGATTTATAGCTGTTTTCATGAATTCTAGGACATCTGGCAAAAAATGGTCTGAACAAATATTGCCATTTGATAAGTTTGTGATTCAGCAGTGATAAACTTTTGATTTGAATATGAATTACTGTAATTTATATCCAAATCAAAAGTTTATCACTACTGAATCACAAACTTATCGAACGGCAATATTTGTTCAGACCATTTTTTGCCAGATGTCCCAGAATTTATGAAAACAGCTGTAAATTGAATTCGAAAGAAATCGGATTTAAAACAGAATACCGAATCTAGTTCCAATCTCTACATTCAAGTCACTTTTGAACTGATCCGTATAACGAATATATAAACCTATTTCGAAGTATTTATAAAAAATGTCAGGAGAGCAATTTTACTATAAGATATGCCCTAAACCTAACCCAGGCTAACACTTACCCGAACTTTAACTAAATAGTCAAAAACATATGAATGGACACAGCTTTAGACATCCACCAATAACAAACAAGTTTTTAAACAAATTCAAATTAAGAAAACTTTATTGTTGAATCAAATCCGCTAGAATTTTTAAAAAAAAACCTTTGGTAATTTTTGAACCCAAATTAAAAAATGACTTCTGTTATACGTCCTTAACCTATCGTAACCAAGCTTTTTAACAAATTCACCTTCATTGTTGAACGAAATTTTTTAGAATTAAAAAAAAACCTTTGTAGATTTTTTGAACAAAATCCAAAAATGATTTCAATTACCCTCGCCAAACTGTTATGTGCTTCTAACCTGTGCATAGCTGTCGTAACCAACCAATTAAGATGTTACGTCCGTCATGATCATTCAATTCCAACAACAGACGCTAGAAGTTTTTGAACAAATTCACCAAATTAAGAAAGAACTTCATTGTTAAACCAAATCCGTTGGAATTTAAAAAATAACCTTTGGTAGTTTTTGAACAAAATTCACAGAAATAAAAATGATTCCAATTACCTTTGCCAAACTGTTATGCACCTCTAACTCGCGCATAGCTGTCGTAACCAACCAATTAAGATGTTACGTCCGTATAATCATTCAATTTCATTCAATTCCAACAACAAACACTAGAAGCTTTTTTAACAAATTCACCAGGTTAAGAAATTGTTGAACCAAATCCGTTGAAATTTAAAAAATCCCTTGGTAGTTTAACAAAATCTACAAAAATTAGAAAATGATTTCAATTACTTTGCCAAACAGTTACGTAACTCTAACCTGCGCATAGCCATCGTAACCAACCAATCAATATGTTACGTCCATTCATCATTATTATTCAATCCCAACAACAGATACTAAAAGTTTTGAACAAATTCACAGATTAAGAAAGAACTTCATTATTAAACCAAATCCGCTGGAATTTAAAAAAAAAGACCTTTGGTAGTTTTTGAACAAAATCCACAGAAATTAAAAATGATTTCAATTACCCTTGTCAAACTATTATGCGCCCCTAACCCGCACATAGCTGTCGTAACCAACTAATCAATATGTTACGTCTGTCAAGATATTCAATTTCATTCAATCCTAACAACAGACACTAGAAACTTTTGGCGAATTCACCAGATTAAGAAAGACCTTCATTGTTAAACCAATCCGCTGGAATTTAAAAATAAGACTTTTGGTAGTTTTTGAACAAAATCCACAGAAATTAAAAAATGATTAATGATTTCAATTACCCTTGTCAAACTGTTATGTGCCCATAACCTGTGCATAACCATCATAACCAACTAATAAAGATGTTACATTCATCATACAACAACAGATACTAGAAGTTTTTGAAGAAATTCACCAGATTAAAAAGGAACTTCATTATTACATTAGAATTTAAAAAATGATCTTTGGTAGTTTTTGAACAAATCCACAGAAATAAAAAAATTTTAATTACTCTTGTCAAACTGTTATGCACCTCTAACCCGCGTATAGCCATTGTAACCAACCAATTAATAAGTTATATCCGTCAAGATATTCAATTTCATTCAATCCCAACAACAGACACTAGAAACTTTTAACGAATTCACCAGATTAAGAAAGACCTTCATTGTTAAACCAAATCTGCTGGAATTTAAAAAAAGACCTTTAGTAGTTTTTGAACAAAATCCACAGAAATTAAAAAATGATTTCAATTACCCTTATCAAACTGTTATGCGCCTCTAACTCGCGCATAGCCATCATAACCAACCAATAAAGATGTTACGTCTGTCATTCCAACAACAGACACTAGAAGTTTTTGAAGAAATTTACCAGATTAAGAAAGAACTTCATTGTTAAACCAAATCCACTGGAATTTAAAAAATGATCTTTGGTAGTTTTTGAACAAATCCACAGAAAAAATTTCAATTACTCTTGTCAAACTATTATGCGCCCCTAACCTGCGCATAGCCATCGTAACCAACCAATTAATATGTTACGTCTAACAAGATATTCAATTTCATTCAATCCCAACAACAGACACTAGAAACTTTTAATGAATTCACCAGATTAAGAAAGACCTTTATTGTTAAACCAATCCGCTGGAATTTAAAAAAAAGACCTTTGGTAGTTTTTGAACAAAATCCACAGAAATTAAAAAATGATTTCAATTACCCTTGTCAAACTGTTATGCGCCCCTAACCTACACATAGTCATCATAACCAACCAATAAAGATGTTACGTCTGTTATTCCAACAACAGACACTAGAAGTTTTTGAGAAATTCATCAGATTAAGAAGGAACTTCATTGTTAAACCAAATCTGCTAGAATTTCAAAAATGACCTTTGGTGGTTTTTGAACAAATCTACAGAAAAAATTTCAATTACTCTTGTCAAACTGTTATGTGCCCCTAACCTGCGCATAGCCGTCGTAACCAACCAATTAATATGTTACGTCTATCAAGATATTCAATTTCATTCAATCCCAACAACAGACACTAGAAACTTTTAACGAATTCACCAGATTAAAAAAGACCTTCATTGTTGAACCAATCCACTGGAATTTAAAAAAAATACATTTAGTAATTTTTGAACAAAATCTACAGAAATTAAAAAATGATTTTAATTATTCTTTTCAAACTGTTATGCACCCCTAACCCGCGCATAGTCATCATAACCAACCAATTAAGATGTTATGTCCGTCATGATCATTCAATTCAAATAACAAACACTAGAAGCTTTTTTACAAATTTACTAGGTTAAGAAAGACCTTCATTGTTGAACCAATCCGCTGGAATTTAAAAAAATTTTTGGTAGTTTTTGAACAAATCCACAGAAATTAAAAATGATTTCAATTACCTTTGCCAAACTGTTATGCGCCTCTAACCCGCACATAGCTGTCGTAACCAACCAATTAAGATGTTACGTCCATATAATCATTTAATTTCATTCATTTCCAACTACAAACACTAGAAGCTTTTTTAACGAATTCACTAGGTTAAGAAAGACCTTAATTGTTGAACCAAATCCACTGAAATTTAAAAAATCCCTTGGTAGTTTAACAAAATCCACAGAAATTAGAAAATGATTTCAATTACATTTGCCAAACAGTTACGCACCCCTAACTCATGCATAGCCATCGTAACCAACTAATTAAAATGCTACGTCCGTCATGATCATTCAATTCCAACAACAGACACTAGAAGTTTTTGAACAAATTCACCAAATTAAGAAGAACCTTCATTGTTAAACCAAATCCGCTAGAATTTAAAAAAGACCTTTGGTAGTTTTTGAACAAAATCTACAGAAATTAAAAAATGAGTTCAATTACTTTTGCCAAACTATTATGTGCCCCTAACTCGCGCATAGCTGTCATAACCAACTAATTAAGATGTTACGTCTGTATAATCATTCAATTTCATTCAATTCCAACAACAAACACTAAAAGCTTTTTTAACAAATTCACCAGGTTAAGAAAGACCTTAATTGTTGAACCAAATCCGCTGAAATTTTAAAAAAACTCTTAGTAGTTTAACAAAATCCACAGAAATTAGAAAATGATTTCAATTACGTTTGCCAAACAGTTATGTGCCCTAACCCACGCATCGCTGTCGTAACCAACTAATTAAGATGCTACGTCCATCATTATCATTCAATTCCAACAACAGACGCTAGAAGTTTTTGAACAAATTCACCAAATTAAGAAGGACCTTCATTGTTGAACCAAATCCGCTGGAATTTAAAAAAGACCTTTGGTAGTTTTTGAACAAAATCACAGAAATTAAAAAATGAGTTCAATTACCTTTGCCAAACTGTTATGCGCCCTAACCCATGCATAGACGTGGTAACAACCAATTAAGATGTTATGTCCATATAATCATTCAATTTCATTTAATTCTAACAACAAACACTAGAAGCTTTTTTAACAAATTCATCAGGTTAAGAAAGACCTTAATTGTTGAACCAAATCCGCTGGAATTTAAAAAAAAACCTTAGTAGTTTAACAAAAT